TTTGCTTTGTTTTAACATTTCTGAGTCAGTCATGTGATCATGGCATCTTCTCATGTGCTATGGACTGAATTTTTGTGTGTCCCCCAATTCATATATTGAAGCTGGAGCACCCACTGTGGCTCTATTTGGCAATGGCGCCTTTGGGAGGTAATTAAGGTTAGGTAAATTCATAAGGGTGGGTCTTTAATCCAATAGGGTTGGTGCTGTTACAAGAATATGAAGAGAGCGAGAGTTCTCTCTCCCCTTATGTCAGCACCCTGAGGAAAGACCACGTGAAGACACAGTGGCTGTCACCAAGGCAAGAACAGGTTCTTACCAGAACCAGAACCTGGTCAAAGCCTTGATCCTGAACTAAGACACAGTGTGCGTAAGCAAACCCACAGGTAATCCTCACCAATGGGGAGGGTGTGGTGGGAAAACTCTGTAATGCTGATGGCAGTGGTGAGTAGGGCAGTTATCAGATCATCCCACACCTGCAGGGCCCGAGGACACCTCCTAACCCACATACACACCCAGGCCTCTAGCTACATTTAGCTACAGGGCCATTTGAAATGTGCATTATACAACTCCAGGTGTGCTGTTCATAATGGGAACCCTAGAGGAGAGGGATGCTGGAGACCTGCATGAAACCACAGCCCAGTTAAAGAGAAAGAGGCCTTGGGGCTGCCCATCCACCCGTGGGCCCCAGTCCTCATTGAGGGGGCACTGGGGAGAAGTGGGTCGGTGGATGGGCGGCATATCAGGAAGAATGGGACAGTGTACATACTCCCCACCCACAGAAACTGACTTCTGCCTGTAAGAGAGGCTGGTACCTTCACCACGGCACCATTCCCAGGCATGGGCTAAGCAGTGCCTCTTGCCCTGGAGCCTTCCAGCAACCTGGAGCACAGTGCATTCTTCCTACACATTTGTCCACAGATCTTGCAAACAACCTGCTCCTCACTGGAGCTTGCCTGCCCTGTGTAGTCACACAATGCTCCTGCTATAACATTGCAGGGGCTGCTTCCTTTCAACTGTCCCTTGTCTTTGGGCAGCCTGTGGCCACCTCTGCAGCACACTGTCTGATGGCTGTTCACTGGCATCAGCCTTCACTCTGAATCCACCAGTCCTCTGCCCGTTGAACTACCTCCTGGGTCTCAGAAGAAGTTGCTCCCAAGAGAAATGCTATGAGCTCTTAGGACAGGCTCTGGTAAAAACCCCGAAGGCTGGCATGACCAGAGGGTCACTAGGAATCACAGCACCTGCTGTTCGGATGGGCACTGGGCTTTCCTGTGGAATGCAAGGGCACCAAAGAAGATGACCTTGTAAAGTCCTCACCCAAGGACGCATGAGAAAGGAATAAGGAAGGTGTCTGGATTGCACATAATCTAATCATGTCCTCTGGCTCTACTTTTAGGAAAAGAGGCTGAGAATGAAGCAGGAGACAGAAGCAAGTCCAGCATGGACAGAAGCAAGCTTGATCTGGGAGCAACAGTTACTGAAATAAAGTGGGGGTTCAGCTGCCTGCAGCCACCAATAGGCAAATTCTAGAGGCAGAGGCTGGTGAGAAAGGAAAGAGGTTTTTATTCAAATGATGCACAATCTGAGAGAATGGCAGACTCTTGTCTAAAAGCCCATCTCCTTGGGGAAACCTGGAGGAAAGCCCAGCCATCCTCAGCCAGACCAAATCCAAAGACGGTGTCCAGAGTTCCTTTTCCCATTTAAAGTACCATCCTTTGGGAACTGCAGGCGGCCACTGAGTGGTCATCCAGGCAGCTCAGTTTTTCTCCCAGCCACTGTCAGGCCCCAGGCTCCATCCTGGAACCCGTGTGTGTGGCCAGCACTTCCAGGGCCAGAAGGTCCTGCGAACAGACCAGCCAGTACATTTGCCAGGTTGGTAAGAGTGCATCTCTTCCTTCCCTTGGGTTTATATTAGTTTTGGGTATGGGACAAATGAGGTGCTTCTTCAAAAATCCCAATTAACTTCCCAAACCTCTGAGTATTCCAGGAGGGTTGACCCCCTGACCAATCCCTTCTTTATCCCCTGCTAGACTGACAGGCTTCTCTCCAGCACCTCCCCCTGCCACCATTCTGTCTTCTTCAGTGCGTATGCCTGACTTCCCCCCTTCCCACTCCCTCCCAATCAGGTACTGGAAAAGGGTAGGAGAGCTTTCCCCCCTACCCAATTGTCTTCTTAGCCTGGTGCATGCTCAGTGCAATACTTCCTCCTGCTGCCACCTACGCCATGGTCAGTGGACTTGGTGCAAAGAGCAGGACATTCCACACCAGATGCAGAGCATTTCCAAAGCATGGCTCGATTACCCAGACAACACCGCCAGCCACTGCCTCAGGCAGTTCTGTGATCTTCTCCAGCGAACCCTCCTGTTCCCCCACCCTCTGCCTGCTCCCAGTGGTCCAGCAGGCTATCCGTATCACAACCACCAACCACCATGGCCCACCAAGCTGGGCCACCCTGGCCGCTGCCAGTCACATACTTCCATTGCAGGGTGCTGTAGACCAGACCCTGTGCTCAGCTCAGTCCAGCCCCAACCCCATGCTCACAAAAACCCTTGAGGCTGGCCTTCTTCCCCCATCGTCCCTGGGCTGTCACAGAGGCCCTTACAGATGACAAGTCCTCCCAGGACCCCCAGTAAATACTGATGCCCTCCGCAGCATCCTTCCAATGGTCACCCGGTTTCACTCGCCATTCAGCACCCAACCAAGTGAGCATGATTCGAACTTTCTCTTCACTACCTAACTGATGCCTACCTCTCATGCTAAGAAACTGATAGGGAAACTCTACGATTAAAGATTTTATCTTCAGTTATAGTTGATAGGCTTAAGTGATTAATATATATGGAAAGCTGTTTTTCCAGGAACTGGAATGCACGACTCACTGACCCACTGAGTCCAGGAGGTCTGCAAGCAATTCAACTTTTGGGCCCCAGCAGGTCTGCAAGCATGGAGATGGTATCTGAGCCATTGTGTTCCAGGAAGGGACCTTCCATGACTTAGATAAAGAAACACTGGGAAAATTGCAACTCTTATCTGATCAACCTTTTTCCAAACCCCTTAAGTACCCTTCCCTTCTCCATATAAAAAGGTCGACTTGAGGTGAGATGTTAAGATGGTTTTTAAAATCTGCTCTCCTCTCAGACCACCTACATCTGAAGAAAGCGCCCAGAAAGATTCAATCCTTGTCTCTACATATTGGTTCTGGTAGTGACAGGGAGCATGTATGCTGACTTTTCTGGTTTCAAAACCAGGGAAATAACTCAAGGAATGAAGTCATCCAGCTCAGCACTGCCCTCACCTCCTCCTAAGACACCAACATACACTCAGAAATTAGATGTGTCCACCTGCCTTCTCATCCACCTGTCCATCAGTTGTCCATTCATCTAATCGATGTCTCCTGAGTGTTCCTGTGCACCAGGCACTGTTTGAGGCACTAGGGATGCAGCTGTGAGTCTGGTGGGCTTTGTGAGGCCCCTCACTCAGGGAGCAGGTGTTCCTATGGAGAGGGCAGACAGTCAACAGGCAAATGGAGTGGACACAGCATGTTGAAAGCCCAGAAGGCATGGAGGAGCACAAGTTGGGGAGGGGGCAAGAGGAGCTGAGAAATCAAGGGATGAGACAAAGAGGTGACATTGGAGTAAGATGTTACGGAGCCAAGGGAACCTGGAAGCAGAGGTCCCCATAAAGGGGGAGCTTATAGCAGGGGGAAGCTCAGAGGAGGTCAGGCCTGAGTCTTGCCGGTTCCTCTGAGTTGGAGGATCCAGTAGGAGGGCTGGACCAGGCATCTGCTTTTGCAGCAGCCAGTGGTGGCCAGAGGTACTGAGCAGTGATTGGTTTGGTTTGTACTTTGCAATTGAAACAGACAGGTTTTCTGAGGTGGAAACAGCATGAGCTGAAGGAGAAGTCAGGTGTGCATCCCAGGTTTGGGGCTGAGCAGAAGGCAGAAGGCCCCTGCTGAGGTTGCGGGGTGGGTTTGGGGAGGAAATGTGAGGTGCGTTTGCATCTTGGAATCTGAGAGGCCCAGGTAAGCCATCTGCAGACACAGTGCAGGCAGCAGAGGCCTGAGAACAGAGCCGCCCACCCCAAGTCAATCCGAAGCCCACCCTACGGTAAAAATAACGGCATTTCCGGCCTAATGCTAGAGGTCTGAGCAGAGCTGCTGGGCTCTGAGGTGGGGGTAGGGGGTGTGAAGAAAGGATCCCTCACACAAGCAATGGGGCACGCGTGGGCAAGGGCAGGGACTTGGATTCTGCACTACCTGAGGTTGGGAGGAGGAGGCCCTGGTTTTATGAAATGCAGGTTCATACCGAAGACAGCAGGAGGCTGGCAGCCTGGCCCTCCGGCCTCTAGTGGGGTCTGAACAGCCTCAGGTCCTGCGTTTGTGGAGGAGTTGCTTGGGGCCAGGGTGTTCACAGAGACCTCAGGCAATTCAGGAGCTGAACTAACGCTACCAAGGAGTGCCAGGGGCAGAGGGTGCCTGTCACCTGGCAGCCGAGCCCGTAGAGACCCCCAGCCCCCAGCGTTGCACTCCGTCCCCTAGGGAGGCGGTCCAGCATCGCCCTGTGGCCGCGTGGACCTCCCGGCCTGCACTCTGCAGCCTCGGGCTCCAGGAGAGGGCGGGAATGGGTAGCACTCGGAGCGGAGAGTGTGCAGGCTAGTGAGGGAGGGGGGCAAAGGGGACCCGGTAGGTGGGGGTGGGAAGGTGAGGTCGAGGGGCTGGTTCGGCCAGGGTGGGCGTGCCGAGAACGCGGGACTGTGTCTGCGTTCCCCGTGCGCAGCGGGGGCGGGAACGCCCCGCCCCGGCGCGGGAGGGGGCCGCGGGATTAAAGGCCACCCCAGCGGGCGGGGACCAGGACAGCAGCCCGCACTGGAGCACTCTCGGCTCCGCGCCGCCCTTCACGAGTCCCGCGGGTTGGCTCGTCCAGCGGCGGCGCAGCTTGTCCAGCAGAGCGCAGCCAGACTCACACGACATGACCGTCTGGACACGGCACTGAGCGGTGGCGACGATGTCTCAGCACAGGGCCCCGGGCCCCTGTTGGAGGCTTCTGCTGGTGCTGCTACTGACGCTGGGCGAGCTGCCGCAGGCGCGGGGCTTCGAGAAGGATGTCGAACACGAAAGCGGGGGCTTCCAGGTGGTCACCTTCAAATGGGACCACGTCCAGGACCCGTACATCATCGCGCTTTGGATCCTCGTGGCCAGCGTGGCCAAGATCGGTAAGCGACCCCAAGTAGGGAGAGTCGCGGGGTTCTGGCCCCGCCGCGTCTTTCCCGCCACCGACCCCGCCTGCTCTCCGGTACTGTGCCGGATCCACGGTCTTCCCTGTGGAGGGGGCGCGTCTAGCGTCAGTTGCCTCGCGGTCCAGTCCCAGAGCACCGCGCCCAACCCGGGGAGTCAGCCCTTGGGTCAGACAGGGCGAAGCTCAGGGGCCGCGAGCCTGGTCGGGCCCGGAGCGCGGCACGGCTTGTCCCGGAGAGTCGTCGGATCCTGCTGGGCGGGAGCAATCTGGGAAGCCTCCGCGCTCCGGCCTCCGCGGCCCCGCATTCCAGCTCCAGTCGGCGCATCCAGGCCTGCGTGCAGCGCGCCGCTCTGCTCTGGGGCTCCTGGGCCGGGTTTTCCGTCTGTCGGGCTCGTGGGGCTTTTTAATGCCCCGAGAGGGAATGTCCTTCCTGTCAAGCACTGAGGTGATACTTTGTTCCAGAGCAGAAGGGGAAATGGTGCCACTCAAAATTAAACCCAGTAAAATCCTATTTATAGGAGCATTTTCCCACTGACAGTGTTTCTCTTTTAAAATCCCCGACTGTAAGATTTCTCTTCTTTTAACTTGCCCTAGTGAGCCAGCGAAGTGGGGATTGCTGTAACTCCCAGCAAGGTGATGGGAAGGTCATCTTCCCTAAGAGCTTACAAGGACTAAGTTTCTAAGTGTTGGTCAGCACCAGAGAGGGTCTTAGCTGAGACGGTTGAGTTGTAATGGCATTTGTAACTGACTAGGGGGAGCCTGAGGGAGGGCCCGTTGAGACGAGGGCCCATGGAGGGGAAGGGCCCATTGAGAACGAGATCTGAGGACGCCCCACCACCTCCTGCCCAAGAAACGGTAGGTGGCAGGGAGGGATCGCCAATGTTTTTGGAATGGGGAGGGGCAAGGCAAAGAGAAGAGGGCCCCTTCTGGGGCCTTGGGGGCACTGATATCCTCCTCCTCAGGACAGGAAGGACGGGTTTGGGGCAAGACCTTAGAGGACTTTGGACCTGGGGTTTGGGGTACCGGGCAGAGGCTGGTGGCAGCTTGTTTTCCTTTCACTTCGCTTTATGCCAGTGGCTCCCTTGAAGTCCCTCTCACTTCTGCTTTCTCTCTCTTAGGAGCTGTCTGGATCCCTCTGCCTGGTCTTTCCTTTTCCCTGGCCTGTGTGTAGCCCCTTGGCCCTGCCTGCCTGGTCACCTTTCTTACTTTGTCCCCAGAGGGCTTTCCTGTGGGGGCTGTGATGTCAGGAGTAAAATGTGAGCCCCAAGAGGGGGTCTCATGTGCTGTGTCTCGGCCAGACGCCCCTGCCATGGGGAGACCACCGACACTGTCCACGTCCAGTGTGACGTTTACCGGGCAGGTCCAGCCTCAGCCTGGGGCTCTGGGCACACCCTGCCCTGCCGCTCACATTGCTCACCCAAGAACTGGCTTGTTTCTGGGACAGAGTGGTGGGAGGGGGGTGGTCCTCTTCCTCTGCCACCTTCTCTCCTTTGTGAAACTACCATAAGGATGATGTCATGGACAGGGTGGGCCAAAACACTGGGAGGTACAGCATCTCTGTTGTGCAATCAAACTAGCACTTTCTGTCCAGCCGCTGGTGTCTGCACAGGCGTGCAGACTGGCATAGGAGAGTTTAGTGACAGCCATCGGGGCACCAGCCCGTCAGCCCTGAGTCAGGGTGCGGGGAATGGCAGGTTAGCACGGACCCGAGTATTTGCCTGGCCCAGACTTTGTTACTCACCCAGGAAGAGCCGCGTCCTGCAGGTCTCTGAGGACTCAAACTGTCCGAAGAGGGCCTTCTCCAGGGTGGGGGTCACCTGCTGCAGCAGCTCCAGCTCAGTCTCATGGGCAGGGCAGAATGTGTTTCCCTGCCAGCTCTCACCATTTAAAAAGGCTCACCTTAACAGCGCCACACCCCATATGTTATTGTGATCCTGGGAGGCTGGGGGTGGGGGCCCTCTGGACAATGAAGACCCATGGGGCTGACCAAGCGTCCCCTGGTGTGCCCTTTGGCCCTGAACCAGGCCTCGCCACATCCCAACCCACATGGTTCTGTATCTGGAGGCTCCCACTATGACGGCATCGGGGCCTCGCCTGTGAATAGGGAGTACTGCAGAGTCACTTAGTCTCCCCATCTTAAAATGTCAGCTGGGACTCTACTCAGGCCCACCCATCTCCCAGCCTCGTTTGCTCCCTGTCCCTCCTTTTGCTCCCCTGTAGTCCTGTCCCCTGGAATCCCTGCACTGACCCTGCCCAAGTCCCCAAGGCCCTCTTCATGGCACAGCATGAGTTGCACATGACCCCACCTCTTTTCCCTGCCCTCTGGAGTCCCCCGCTTACAGTCTTGTCCTGTCCCCGTCATTTGAGGCTGCTCCTTCTTCATCCGCCCTGGGGGCACTGCTCCTGGGCCTGGGCCTGACGTGTCCCCCGCATCCGCCCTCTGTGTGCTGCCCCACACCCAGTCCGCCAGGTACTGGCTTGGGGCCAGGGCCCCCATCTCCAGCCTGGGGTTCCCTGAAAGTGTGGCTCGTCATTAGGCATGTCTGCACAGACATCTACCCATACCTCAGATGGACCCCCCACCCACCCCCTCCTTAGGCCTCTGGGCTCAAAGCCAAAGCTTAGCAAATAAGCTGGACTCACCACTCATACTTAGCCCCACAAACCTGGAAGCGCCTTGAGCTGATCACCTCATCCCAGTGGTCCAGATTCGTTCCAGGCCAGACCCCACTGTGCTGCTCATGTCCCATCCCTCACAATCCACTGCGTTCTCTGCAGTGAAAAGCAGGGCTCTGACCTGGCTTCCGCTGGACCGAGCCAGGGGCTCCCCACTGCCCCGCCCTCCTCCCTGGTCAGCCCTCTGCACACAGTGCCCCCTGCCTTCTGTGAGCTCTGGGCTTACACTTAGGTCCTGACTCGGGGACCAGGCCCCTCAGATCTCTCCCTCCCCGTGAAGCCAACCCTAGCGCCTATACTCAAACCCCCACGACCACTCACGCCCATGCCTTCACCTCACTGGGCCTGGAGGCCGCGTGCCAAGGGTCCAGCCTGTGTGCAGATGAGGGACGTGTTTGGATCACAGTGCACTTCCTCCTGCCCCACAGTCCAGGGTTCACACTTGTTAAGCTCCTTGGCCCCTTTCATGGTTTAAAACAGTCAGGGATCATCCAGACTATTCGAGTCTCAAGTTACAGAAGAGGAGAGTTGGACTGATGTTGATTTCCAAACATTTGTTGAGTGTCTCACACATGGTTCTAAGTTTTAGCCACATACGTACCTTGTATGTATGTGAGAGGTCATATTTCTTCCAGCCGTTCGTAACCTTGTTGGCTAAATAAGATGCAGGGGACCCCGAGACACAGGCAATATCTCGTGCACATGTTTTAAGGCAACTTCTCTGCTCGGTAGCTGGGGACAGACAGCGGTGGAGAGTAGGGTCACAGCACTGTCCTGGAGACCCAGGACTAGATCCTGTCACTTTGCAAGGTGAGGAGCAGGTGTGACTGCTGTGCCCACAGATGCCCAAGACCCCGTGTCTTGCAAGCTCCCCACATATGTATATTTGGGCCTGTTTTGCATCTTTAGGAAATTCAGGGGAGAAGAGGGCTGCTGCGGCCAGGGATCTGTCCGCAGCTCAGGGTCAAATGAAGAATGAGGCTGAGGATCCTTATGCTGTAGGATGGTGCCTGCCGCTGTTCGGGGTCGGGGTGTCCTCTGGACCAGCATGGAGCCTCGGACACGCGCTTCCCTGGGGAGTTCCTGGTCTGTAGCCGCCATATAAGGGTCACTTTGGACACTGGACCAGGCCAGACTTTCACTTCCTAAAAGTGTTCTCAGCCCTCGGGCCTGCCCTGGCTGTGTGACTTTTGTCTACGTCCGCTGCCTGATGGTGGGCTTCTCTGAGGCGCAGCTGTCAGGCACTGGGTGTCTGACCTGAACTGTGTCCCAGGCTGTGGGGGAAGCGCTGGGGGTGTTGCCTCCTGGGGTTAACTTCCCATGCTCTGGCTTTAGACCAGGAGCCCCTGACTCCTGTCCAACTCTTTCTCATGGGCTCCCGGACGCCCTCCACCACGCTCTCCACCTGTACCCGCTGAATTTCCCTTGCTCCCCTGGAAGGAAGGCATAAGAGGATCTGAAAGACAAGGATGGCCTAGAAGGGCAGAGCGACGAGCAAGAGTTCCCAGTGGACCCTATCCTCCCAAGAGTAGGCAAAGTCAGTGGGCCCTAGTGGCCCCCAGTCCTGAGAGGACAGAAGGAGTGTGCGAGCCTGGAGTGAGGACCCGTCATCCAATGCCTGGAGCCAAGGACTTTCCCAAGAGTTTCTGGGAGGGAGGGTTCCATGCTGAGGGTGAAAAGTTTCCTTTTTTCAAGAACTGCCCATGGGAGAGTTAGCCCCCAGCTGTAAAACAATCCAGGGGCTTTTGGAGCTAAGATATTCTGAGGAAGGGGGCAAAGGTCAGGAAGTACAATAGCACCCAGTCCTGCCTGCTCCCTAGACAGGACTCCCCAGGGAGCCTGCCACCTGGGCCAGCTTCCCGTATGAGTCCAGGAGAGAATCACCACCTGCTCCCAGGACTCCAAGTCCCCTTTGGCATCTGGCCCGGGTCAGCCTCAGCACACACAGGCTCTGTGAATGCAGGAGTTTGCTGAAACTTATCTCTGGGGTCTCTAATCCGACCCCTTAATCAGCCTCACATTTTATTTATTCACAAACATGTCAGCCCCACTCCCACCCCCAGCTCTGGCCCCTCCAGGACGGTTCTGCTCTGTCCCGGGAGGACAGAGGTGGGTTTTCCCTGCCACTCGTACCGGGCCCCCTGCCATGTGCTCTCCCGGAGCCAGGGAGTATTTAGAGTTGGAGTCCCCATCCATACATCCTCGCCCCAGTGTCTACCCACTCCTTTTCAGCCACAACTTTTAGCGGAAGCTGTGCACCCAAAAAGGGTGGGGTGCTTAGCACTTGGTGAGGGAGGCCAG